CTTTTCCTGATGCTGCAGAATCTTTATATATACAGATTTATCATCATATGAACTAGTTTCAAGATCACTGAGCAATCCTTGTTTACACAAAGATCTGCAATGAAAAAATGCAGGTATCAGCCTGAACTGGAACAGGGATGGCCTTTCATTGACCCATGTGGCATGGCAAACTTGTGGGTTTCTTTACAATTTGGAACATGCATTTGGCAAGCCAGTTGGGGCTTTGCCATTCAAAATAAGGACTTGTTTTAATGCTCTTGGCCAAGACTGCTTGTGTGATGGAACAAGTTGTCATTCCATTATATGATGGGGACAGCATCCTCCTGCTTGATGGACCTGCTCCTGTTCTCTGTTGACAGGACATCTCTGCTGTCAGCTCTTATTAACAACCATCTTGGTCATATTGGTTACCCTATTGGACACCACAGGATGTCACAGTTCAGGACAACTGCACCTGTATTTCCTTGCAGTGGTCCAGCAAGGGCACCTGCTCTCAACCTTCTAGCTCTTCAGTCATTGCCTCTTTTGGGTGGAGACCTGCCTGTCACTCACCACTGACCATGGTATGTCCAGGCTGCACAGTACCCTCCCTTCACTGTGTATTTCCGAGTATAAACCGGCTGCCTAAATCTCTTCATAGACTGATAACAGAGTGATTGCCACGGATATAAGTTACCACACCATTCTTTCTAAGTAAGCCCATTTTTATTCTTAGGGTAAAAGTACTACAGAGTAAGCATATTTAAAACAATAAAAGAACCTACATACATGCTAATAAGTTTACCAAGCTCACCTCTTCCCCAGGGGTGTCTTTGTAGTTAAAAGTTCATCAGAACTTCAGCTTAGAACAAGCATCCAGTCTTACAAGGCCTCAGGAAGTCAAGTCCTTCGAATCCCCCCCTAAGGAATGTGGCCCTCTGTGGACCAGGGAGTCCTATCCATTTCCTGGATCAGGAAGAAGGCCCTGAGTTAGTCTAATCCCTGGTCATTTATCTCAAAATCCTTTCTTTGTCTCTTGGACCTGGAGAGCCCAGTTTGAACTAATATATGCAAACCTTTCCAGGGGGTAGTTTCAAAGGTTGGCTTTGGAAGGTGAGAATTAGCATTCCTCTCACCACAAGGTATTTCCTAAGGAAATCCACTTCACACATTGTTTCAATAAAACCTTTGACATTCCTCAAACCTTAGAGAGATTACATTAATCTTGTCTTCCTGCTAAATACATTCCATGCAATCTCACAATAGTACATAAACATTTCCATTTTCAATACAGTGAACTCCAAAGATGTTGAATTTAATTCAGTAAAATTTAATTTAAATCAGTGAGGTTTTTCCAGGATGTCACAGAATATTGTCAGAATGTCACACATGGTTTCCAACAGACCTAGGTCAACTTTCCACCCTAGAAAGGAAAATGTTGGGGGATTTTAGTACATATGGAGATCGAAGCTCTGTCGCACAAGACGTGGATCACATACTAAAAAATGTTATGTCATTAAAAACTGTCATAATGCCTATGCACAAGGGGGCTAAATGAAGCTCACACAGGCCTCTTAAGTCTAGCATTTTCTAACTTTTGAGTGCTTGACTTTACAACTTTAACTTTCTTCTAACAAGATTTATTTTAATATCATTTACTGTTATTTCTTTTTAAAAGAACCATATTGGCCTGCCACATCAATCATCAAAATACTTCACTTAGGAAGGAACATTGCACACATACAAAATGGGAAATGACTGCCTAGGAAGGAGTACTGCAGAAAGGGATCTGGGGGTCGTAGTAGACCACAAGCTAAATATGAATCAACAGTGTAACACTGGTGCAAAAAAAGTGAACATCATTCTGGGATGTATTAGCAGGAGTATTGTAAGCAAGTAATTTGTCCACTCTACTCTGCACTGATTAGGCCTCATCTAGAGTATTGTGTCCAGTTCTGGGTGCCACATTTCAGGAAGGATATGGACAAATTGGAGAAGGTCCAGAGAAGAGCAACAAAAATGATTAAAGGTCTAGAAAACATGACCTATGAGGGAAGGTTGAAAAAATTGGTTTTTTTTTAGTCTAGAAAAAAGAAGACAGAGGGGACATGACAACAGTTTTCAAGTACATAAACGGTTGTTACAAGGAGGAGGGAGAAAAAATGTGTTTCTTAACCTCTGAGGATAGGACAAGAAGCAATGGGCTTAAATTGCAGCAAGGGAGGTTTAGGTTGGACATTAGCAAAAACTTCCTGTCAGGGTGGTTAAGCACTGGAATAAATTACTTAGGGAGGCTGTGGAATCTCTGTCATTGGAGATTTTTAAGAGCAGGTTAGACAAACACCTGTCAGGAATGGTCTAGATAATACTTAGTCCTGCCATGAGTGCAGGGGATTGGACTAGATGACCTCTCGAGGTCCCTTCCAGTCCTATGATTATCAGGGTTGGACCCTTTAGATCATAGCACAGACCTCTACCCACTTGAGCTAATGGAGTACCTGATACCAGTAGCAGACTGTTATCTTTGACACGGACAACCTACTTGGGGTGATGGTGGTGGGACATATATATTGCTAATAGGTTTCACAGCTACTTTCTAGACAGCAGAGCAATGTTAAGATGCAGGAATCAGAACTCTGTTCCAGGTTCTGTCTACTCTTGTGGTTACAAACTGCCAACCCTCCACAGCCTGTTTCTGCTCCCAAACCTCTCAAACCCTGGAGTCTGTTTCTCCCTCACGCTACCACCCAACTCCTCATCCCATTGCATTCCAATCAAGCTATTTCCTGAATCTTTAGCACATCTGGTACATAAATATATTGTGATGCCGGTGCCATGCGAACGCCTGTTCTCACTTTCAGGTGCCATTGTAAACAAGAAGCAGGCAGCACTATCTATCACCTGCAAATGTAAACAAACCTATTTGTCTGAGCAACTGTCTGAACATGAAGTAAGACTGAGTGGACTTGCAGGGTCTAAAGTTTTACATTGTTTTATTTTTGAGTGCAGTATTTTTTGTACATAATTCTACATTTGTAATTTCAAGTTTCATAATAAAGAGATTGCACTACAGTACTTGTAATGGGGGAATTGAAAAATAGTATTTCTTTGTTTTTTTACAGTGCTAATATTTGTAATAAAAAATAAATCTAAAGTACATTTTGTATTCTGTAACTGAAATCAATATATTTGATAATGTAGAAAACATCCAAAAATATTTAAATAAATGGTATTCTATTATTGTTTAACAGCATGATTAATTGTGATTAATTTTTTTAATCGCACAATTAATCGCAATTAATTTTTTTAATCACTTGACATCCCTATATGAACTCACCTTCCTGTGGGTTATATAGACTTTAAGGCCAGAAGGGACCATCTTGATCATCTAGTCTGACCTCCTGCACATTGCAGGTCATAAAACCTCACCCACCGCCTCCGGTAATAAACCCATAACCTCTGGCTGAGTTACTGAAGTCCTCAAACCATGCTTTAAAGATTTCAGGTTTCAAAAGAATCCACCATTTA